TCGACGATACTTCGAGTTGAGTTGCACATCACTTTACTCTGAACTTGTTACTAGTTTGCAAAAGCAATGCTTGCTCTAGTTTTTAAGTCTCCGCCTCATAATGGATTTCAAACACCCCCCCCCCTCCCATTTTGCATGTGACTGCACATGTCGCATTTCATGTGACGGCCTGGGTGGCGCATACGGTCGCGGAAACCTTTGTACTTCAGAAACAGTTGAAGATGCGCCGTTGATTTTCGGTCACTAAGGGTGACGACAAGAGTGAGTTTCAATAACAGTCACATCATTATCAGATGTCATGGAGTGATTATGCATGCTTTCTACAGGAACAAGCGTCATGCCGATTATGGGTTCTCAGAAATTTGGCGATAGTGCTGCAGAAATAAGCAGTGATTGTTTGTCAGATGAAGAAGATGGGCTTTTGGAACCCCGCTTCAAATATCAAAGGATTGAAGGACCCGATGCAAAACAGGTACATCTGGCTGGTTAGTTAACATGCAAAGAGGAATTTGCAGTACAGCACAGTACAGAGTCACGCCTATAAGTTTTGCTTGTCTCAGGGCTTCACCAGTAGTACTTATTTAATGGGAAGATCCGAACTTTTTGTAGTTACATCATTTTCATATTACCATGTAAGCATTACATAAAATTATCAGTTTGTTTCTACAATCTTTTTAGCTTCTTCGTCGAGCTTTGAATCTGTTGTTCTGTTTAGGCGGGTATATCTTAAGATCGAACTTTTTAGTTGATGGCCACACAAGTGGTAAGTGCAGTCACAGCTCATCTCAAGCTCATTGTAATCGGGACCCAAATGGGCTACATATGGATCATGGATCATTTCGGCCATGTGGATCATCAGCACGTCCCGGTAATTTGTTGCTGAATCTGACATTTCATGTTGATGTGTTGGCGTATCCTTTTACTTCAACATCGTTACTTCAGGTTATTCGCCCGCACAGGAGCGCTGTGATGAAATTAACTATAGATAGTGCTGGGAACTACATAATGAGCTGCGGGAACGATGGACGGGTTGCTATCTCAGGAGTAGGATGTGATGAGTTGAATTATGTCAGTTTACTGAGGAACTTTTATGGGAATAGCATCTTTTTT